GCGCGGACGCCGCACTTGCCGGCGCGCATGAGGCCGATCTTCTTGAGGATGAAGCTGGCGCCGATGAAGGCGCTGGAGGCGACCGCGAGCGCCAGCCCCTTGGTGTTGTCCGACGCCCCCATCCCCTCCCCTCCCGCCGGCCGACACAGCAAGCAAGAAGATAGACAGGCAGCCCGCCCCGGCGCCGCGCGCCTCCGGTTCAAATCTCCGGGGAAGCAGGAGGGCGCCCGCGCACGACAGGAGCCGCCGATGGTGGCGCGTGCCTCTCCTGTCCTCTCGTCTCCGCCCGCTTGTCTCGTCCGTGCTGGCGGCTGCTGGCCAGGGTGGGTGGTTCCGCCTATTGTTGTTGTCCGCCCGCCGGCCGCCGGCCCGGTCGTGGGTCGTGGCTCCTGCTCCTTGGAAAGGGCGACGCGAGAGGGGCGGGGGAGGCGACGCGGCTGCTTCGGGCGGGTGGTCGTGGGTGGGGCCGCTAGCAAGAAGGGAAGCCTGGAGTGTGTCTGCCATTGGCCGCTGGCTGGAGGAGCTGGATCTGCGCGGCAGGCACGCGCGTCACGTGCCGCGTCGCACGGATCGCTCGACTCCGACAGTCCGACCACCACCCTCGAATTCAAAATTCGGTAATGCCTCTGTCGTGTTTCGAAAATCGTAAGGTTGGATTTCGGAAACGTGTTTGTATAGAGAAGAAGAAAGTGACACTGACCTTATCAAAGACATTGCCCTGTATTTGTTCATGTTTGATCTTCAGGGTGGAAACACATGATCCCGTCTTTGATGGTTGGGTCCAACAAAACAGTTTCGTCGCTTGAAGGTCGTTTTCCTCATGTAGCCGGTGTTGCTGAACAAGCCAGAGTAATCGACCGCACATGGCCCCCAAAATCGTGCGGATCCCGATTGAAGAAAAAAAAATCAAAGGTAACACGCCGCATGCTACAGCTTGAGCCCTAGGTCGTGACCCTCCCCTAGTCTCCCCCACCTACATCTGCGCCGCCTCTCGCCATCAACCACGCACCCCGTGCAACGAATTCGACGACTGCTGTTTGTTGCATACTACCGACGACGTCCCCACGGCCTAGCCCCGTCTTCTAGTCGCTCCGTGCTAGCGTACCGCATCGTTCCTGGCAATGCCCCCGTTCTCCGCCAGATAGATCCGGCAAACTACTGTGCTACTGACGTCGCGTACTGGCCCTACCTCCGCCCGATCACCCCATCCATCGTGCCGCTGCCGGGCGTTGGCCCTGCCTTCGCTACGCCCAAGAATGGTTGCGCCTCCAAAGCTGAGAAACAATGACATTGCTGGTCGTATCACCATAGTCACCACCAAACTATTGAAGACGCTGGATAAGGGCATCTTCAACAGTTGTAAGATAGGTGTTGTAAATTTGCCATTTAGGACATAGTGATGATGTGGCATGTAATAAATGTAGAAAGAGAGCAAAGTTGTATGTAGTTTAACCAATAACCTTTGCACAAGCTCCTAGATGAAATAGAGAACAATCACATTTATTTTCTTACCATCTATTGAATAGCTTACATACAATCCATTGGAGTAGTTGTATGATAACTTGTTGGTTAATGACATGGACATTCTACCAACAAGACTAACATACAACCTGTTGAAGATGGCCTAAGATGGGTCAACAAATAGTTTCCTGAATAGTTGTTTTCTATATACCTGGTAAAATAAGTCGGCGTCAGATTTTGACCATTTGCCTCGTATTTGATTTATATGTGGGGGGAAGCATTTCATTACTTAATTGATCATAGTGTAACAATCGTTCATAACCACAATGCTAATCTCGTGAGGAACATTGCAAGCAAACAACCCATCCTTTGTTGTCCACGTCCTATATCTGCCATAGCGTGTTCAACCTTGTCCTGCGCACGAGTGATCTTTTTAAGAAAAAGGGTTTCCTCCGCTTTATAAATAAAGCACTAATCACCGAGTAAGTCGATACAAACAAACACCCCACACCAACACAACACACACAGCCAAGGCAGATACAAGGACGCTGAAAACAGCAACATCACCCCAAACTACTCCAAGCAAACAACGGATAACACCCTAAGCACTACTATGAAGTTGTCGGAGCCCTCAACCATGGAAGAAGCACCACGATGAGGAGAAGCCGTACATGACGAACAATGGGCTCCAAGGCGGTGCCTTCAAGAAAGGAACGACGCCGGATCGCCGCCACCGCCCAATCCAAGGATTAGGGTTTCCCCCGGAGCACCTCAGTTACAAGCGAGATACCGCGACGACGCCTTCAAGAATTGAACGACGCTGGAACGCCGCCATCGCCGGCCTGACAAGACAGAGCGGGTTTTCACCCCGGCCAACACTCACCTTCACCAAATTGGGGTACGGACAGCCGCGCCACCACCATTGAACGACACACCCCGGCCACCATGCCGCCCACACGGCCATGGTGACTGAACAGCGCCCGAGCCGCGTGCTACACCCACAAGCACCCCGGCTCCCACCAGCAGGGCCGCCGCCCAAGCATCCGAGCCCCATCCTCGACCACAGACACACAGTACCGACACGACCGACCGGAGAGGAGCAGACTTTCCACCCCAAAGCGGAAGCCTTGGCAGGGTTGGTGGCCGCGGCGGCCAGATCTGGGCCAGAGGAACTCCGGCGGCCACAGAGCAGCCGCCAGATGCAACGGAGGGGAACCCCTGCCCCCTACCCGAAGTCCACAGCCACCTCCGGCAAGCCCACCGGCACACCAACACCTCACCATGGAACCACCCCTGCCTGTCGCGCCCATCCCTGAGTCCGTAGGGGAGGAAGGAAGCTCACCCGAAAAAGCCGCAGACAACCACACGCTGGAGCAAGACCCGCCGGTGCCGCGAGCAGACCGGTCGACCACGGGCTGCAGCCACGCCGCTGCAAGCCACCTGGACGCAGGTCCCAGGAGGACCTCCGCCGCCACCCCGCGACGCCCGCCGCCACCGGGGACCAAATCCGCAAGGATCTGGCCAGGATCGCGCCGGCCCGCCACCGCCCAATCTGGCCCTGCCACAGCCGCCACGCCGCAAGCACCCACCAAGACGTCGCCGAGCCGCCACCAGGGACCTCCAACGCCATCCCGACGGATCACCGCCGCGCCGCTCGCCCCCGCCATAGGCCAGCGCCCCCGCACACGAAGCCGTCCCGCACCGGCCATGGACCATGGGCGGAGGGGAGAAGAAGGCCCCGCCGCCGCCCCAGCCAGCCGGGCTTCGCCCGGCGGCCCCGCTAGGCAGCGGCGAGGGAGGCGGGCAGAGGATGGGGAGGAGGGGGCGGCGATTTAGGGTTCCCCTCGGGGCGCTCGCGGGAGCGCCACGAGAGGGGAAAGGGGTCTGAATGAAACTCTTGATCGCGGTCAAGGAGCGGCCCTCCTTTAGCATCTTCGCAATTTTTGCAATAAGGACAAGGTACATGCTACTAGATCAATCTGCCGAGCTCGTATTTGTTTGTTCATGTAGGAATGATTTGGTCACCACCAAACTAAATGGTCAAAAGTTACTTGTGGCACTGCCGTTTTGGTCACATTGGTGTCATACGCATGAAGAAGCTCCATGCAGATGGACTTTTGGAGTCTCTTGATTATGAATCATTTGACACGTGCGAACCCTGCCTCATGGGTAAAATGACCAAGACTCCATTCTCAGGAACAATGGAGCGAGCAACCAACTTATTGGAAATCATACATACTGATGTGTGCGGTCCAATGAGTGTTGAGGCTCGCGGTGGCTATCGTTACGTTCTCACCCTCACTGATGACTTGAGTAGATATGGGTATGTCTACTTAATGAAACACAAGTCTGAGACCTTTGAAAAGTTCAAGGAATTTCAAAGTGAGAGGTTGAGAATCAACGTGACAAGAAAATCAAGTTCTTGCGATCAGATCGTGGGGGAGAATACTTGAGTCACGAATTTGGCACACACTTAAGGAAATGTGGAATAGTTTCACAACTCACGCCGCCTGAAACACCTCAGCGTAATGGTGTGTCCGAACGTCGTAGTCGCACTCTATTGGATATGGTGCGATCTATGATGTCTCTTACCGATTTACCGCTGTCATTTTGGGGCTATGCTTTAGAGACTGCCGCATTCACTTTAAATAGGGCTCCGTCGAAATCCGTTGAGACGACACCGTATGAATTATGGTTTGGGAAGAAACCTAAGCTGTCGTTTCTAAAAATTTGGGGATGCGATGCTTATGTCAAGAAACTTCAACCTGAAAAGCTCGAACCCAAGTCGGAAAAATGCGTCTTCATAGGATACCCTAAAGAAACTATTGTGTATACCTTCTACCTTAGATCCGAAGGCAAGATCTTTGTTGCCAAGAATGGATCCTTTCTAGAGAAAGAGTTTCTTTCGAAAGAAGTAAGTGGGAGGAAAGTAGAACTCGATGAAATATTACCTCTTGAACCGGTAAGTGGCGCAGCTCAGGAAATTGTTCCTGAGATGCCTGCACCGACTAGAGAGGAAGTTAATGATGATGATCATGAAACTTCAGATCAATTTTCTACTGAACTTCGTAGGTCCACAAGGACACGTTCCGCACCAGAGTGGTACGGCAACCCTGTCCTGGAAATCATGTTGCTAGACAACGGTGAACCTTCGAACTATGAGGAAGCGATGGCGGGCCCAGATTCCAACAAATGGCTGGAAGCCATGAAATCCGAGATAGGATCCATGTATGAAAACGAAGTATGGACTTTGACTGACTTGCCCGATGATCGGCGAGCCATAGAAAATAAATGGATCTTTAAGAAGAAGACAAACGCGGATGGTAATGTAACCATCTATAAAGCTCGGCTTGTCACTAAGGGTTATCGACAAGTTCAAGGGGTTGACTACAATGAGACTTTCTCACCCGTAGCGAAGCTGAAGTCCGTCTGAATCATGTTAGCAATTGCCGCATTCTATGATTATGAGATATGGCAAATGGACGTCAAAACGGCATTCCTTAATGGTTTCCTTAAGGAAGAATTGTATATGATGCAGCCGGAAGGTTTGTTGAATCCTAAGAATGCTGACAAGGTGTGCAAGCTCCAACGCTCGATCTATGGGCTGGTGCAAGCATCTCGGAGTTGGAACATTCGTTTTGATGAGATGATCAAAGCGTTT